AACTGTTATCTGTTTTTGCTAGCATAATCGGGAGATCGTTTTTTTTTGTACTAGTCTATTTATGAATGCATTTGGAAATAGTTTTAATTTACACTACAAGAATTTAATTTTAAAACGAAGAGATCATTCTATTGATATCAACATTTAAAACTAAAATTTCTGTTAACTTGAGCTGTGTAGTTGAAATTTTAATAAATGTAATGTAAAAATAAATAAATCGGAGGATTTTGGAGGTCTGCAGACCACCTCCACGTTTCGCTTTCTTATTTTTGATTAAATTTGATTATTTATTACATTTCATTAAACGACCTGCATTTACTTTACTTTTACTTTTAAATTGCTCATGGTACTTATACCAGACAATACGATTATTGCGAAAGTTATTTCTTTATCTAATTGTCTTTTTAAAATTAACATTTAGATATTTAATAATCAATGATATCCGACGCGTACGCCGCCGCCGCGCGCATCTCTATGCAGAGTTGCCAATTAAGCGACTTTGTCCCTTTATGTGATGATTTGAAATCAAAAGCGTCTTTTATTTCTAGCGACAAAAAAAAATTGGTATTTTTGGCGCGTATTTAATTAGGTTTAATCTTTTATAATTTAATATTATTTTTATCTTAGTATTCAGGAGTCTTTTACCTGTACTGGGACCATTCTGTTTAGTGATATTTGCTTTAGTCTAGTTGGTAACACTTTTTCATTCATAAATTAGTTCAAAATGCCTGGTTGTATGGTAACTCGTGGTGTCATGTTTTTCTCGTGTTTACAACAAAAAAACAACGTTTACTTGTTAGTTTTTGGGTTGTGACAGCAACTTATTGGAATAATGCCGTTATTAAGTAGTGCTTGTGTTAAGCAAGTAAAATGTATTAGTGTGTTTGCGTGGAAAACCACATCGGCGTATGACCGGCACACCTAGGAATGTGTCTGGATTGTCTGCAAGAGTAAAAGGGACGTGGACAAATCGAACATCATTTTAATTTAAAGTAAGTTCAATGTTTTTTAATTACCTATTCAAGTGAGAGCACTTATTTCTTCTGCGAGTGCCAATGACAGGAACGCCGCCTGTGGGGCAGTAGATGTACTAACACGATTGATTCGCTTAGGGTTGTTGCACCGCGAAAGTTTTAAATCTGAACGAATATTTTTCAACTGCTCTGATTTTACATTTAAAGTAAATAAAACTCATGTATGTTGGGTTCTCAACGTGATATTTTCGGCTTTGTCGGTCGTTCCGTTCCACCCTGTATATGGCCCAATAGAAACTGCTGTCTACAAAAATACTAATGCATACAAAATGCTCATTGGTCATATCAGTATGACATTCTAGTACTGCTGGGAAGTACTGCCACCTTACCTATTTCCGCCGCCAAGCAGTAACGTCAGCATTACTGTGTTCCGATTTTGAAGGGTAAGACTGCTGGTGAAATTATAGGCACGTGGGACTTGTCAACTTACGACTCAGGGTGACGGTCGCAGTGGCAGTGCTCACATCTTTGCGACTTAAAGCATAAATTGGCACTGCAACTGTTATTGATAGACGTGTAGCATACCGTCAAGAGCACGACTTGTTCGTGCCGTCTCCATGCTCCTACTGGTAGGAGCACGAGGACTAATATGTCCTTACGCTCCTACTGGTAGGACCAAAAGGATAAATATGTTCTCGTGCTCCTGCTAATATACTGTCACCTATATTTATATGTAATAGATATTGTTGTATGTTATCATGATGTTATCGATTCGCTTCAGCCTCTTCAGTGAAAGCTATTAAAGTATTTCCATATATTTTATAAACAATGGTAGTGTTCCGTTTAGCTCTTTCAGGTCGTTTCTGTATGTACATTTAAATTATTACATTAATTTTAAAGAGCAAACCCTAGAGTTTCTCTTGATCATTCTTCTCAGGGAAATCTGCCTTCCTAGTGAGCGACTGACGATTTCAAGTGTAATTTTCTTCTTACCTATGAAATAAAGATATTTTTTACTTTTTTATATTGATATTTTTTTATTCTAGTCAGTATACTTATTAGATACGACGTCACGATAGGAGCATAAGAACATTAGTCCTCATGCTCCTACCAGTAGGAGCACCAAGTAGGAGTATGAGGAAACAGCCGCAGTCACTTAATATCTCTTTAAAAATATATGTACAAATTATTTACGTAGCTTATTTGTTCTCTTGTAGTTTACACACCAGCACACCCCATTCCCATTGAATAGGCAGAGACTATCGATCGGCATTTAGCACGGTCTTGATAAATGCCCTAGGCTTCGCTTACATTTATCTATCTTTTCCATATAGGCTCTCTTATTCTTCTCACTACTCTCTTTCGCACTCCAACGGCGAAATCCATAGATCCCTGGGGCCACAGGCGAAACCTCTTGGTAACGTGCTTTTAGTTCGTCTCGTTGATGCCCCTGATTACTAGAAAGCTGGCAGCTAATTCCATCAAACGATAAGCTTAGATCATCTAAGAGCGATGCCACACTGCGTTTCGTCGTGGCAACGCCGGAGCGGTGACGCTGCAGCCATTTTAAGAATGTTCTCAATTTAGCCGCCCTCTTTCAATGATGCCTTCCACGTTAGCTGTATGCCTTCCACGTTAGCTGTATACGTTTATTTCGTTAATCTATTTTTTATGCATCACCTTTGTGAGCAGGGTACCAAATACTCAACTCACGATATTCTGATCTTAGCATGTTCTCAGCTCACCACCCTTTATGAGCATGTTGCCAATGTGTGTGTGTGGACTGAAGGACCACATGATTTTTAACCGACTTCAAAAAAGGGGGAGGTTCTCAATTCGACTGTATGTTCTTTTTTCTTTTTTTTTGTATGTATGTTAGGCGATAACTCCGGTATTTGTGAACCGATTTTCATGATTCCTTTTTTGTTGGAAAGGGGGTACTTCCATAGTGGTCCCATTTCATTTTGAAGAAAATCATCTACCTCGAAGGGTGGCTGTTCACGCATGAAGATTTTATTTTCATAAATAGCGCCTGACATTATTTTAGGAGCAATTACTTTAATGGTTGATTTTGCTATTTCTCCAATTCAAGGCGTTTTTCTCTCACTATACTTTTAGTGAGAACCATTGACTTACAGTGAGAACCGATTTTTATTATCTCCAGGGTCAAGTCGTGTATAGTGGCGAACTAGGGGATATTTCAATAAAACTTAGCAAATAGACGTAATTCCACGTACTTTTGAGGTCGGTTTTTTTAGTGCCGTGGGGCGACGGCTTAAGAATACATTGTCGCCTCCCCATACATGCCCGTGGGGGTCGTAAGAGGCGACCGAGGGCGTCACAAGTGTCCATCTGCTTAGCGTTGTGGTAGGCTTTGTGCCGACTGGATAGCGACCACAGTACACACGGCGGAAAACCCTCCACAGTGAAACGCTTTTGCGAATCGCGTTCAGGGATCAGTTGGTGTACATCCAGTGCACGTGGAGTTTTCGGCGCGGTATCTGGGAGGACTGAGGCGGATATTTGCCATGTCACTTGTTGAGGGATATCTAGTTGACCTGCCGCCCAGGGAGACCCGTAGAAACGGTTGTCCGCTGGCCGCCCGCGGTACAGTATAGGGGCCCAATAGGGACTAACTACCCCTAGAGGTTGCCCCACAATGCCGCGCATAATCTTGGGGTAGGTCGTCGTGCCGGTTAGTGACCGGAATTTGGGGTCCCGGCGGCATATCCCGGGGGGGTACGGGGGCCCTTCCGTTCGGCGGGTCAGCCGGCTATCCTTCAAAAGATAAACGGCATGTATTGCTGTTCCCCTCGTTTTTCTTCTTCGGTGCGGTGCCGAAGGCTTCATCTCTTCACACTACCGTCCTTCTTACCCACCATGACAGTGCAACATAAGAATGCAGATCGTTCAGCGGTGCCTAATCCCCCCACCGCGTTTATTATTGAGTTCGCTAACATCCGCGGACTCCACTCCAACCTCAAAGCTGTCCACCATCACCTCGAGACAGTCCGGCCTGCCCTGCTTTTCCTGACGGAGACTCAGATTCGCCGTCCGAATGATATGAGTTTCTTGAACTACCCCGGCTACTCGCTTGAGGAAAACTTTCAGGCCAAAGCCGGGGTATGTGTATATATTCGTTCGGATGTGTGCTGTCGCCGTCTGCGCTGCCTGGAGGACCCCTCCTTTTCCACTATTTGGGTGCTCGTAGACTCTAGTTGTTCAACTAGAGTCTTCGCGTGCTTATATAGATCCCACAGCGGGGATGTGGAGACAACTAGGCTCTTTGACTAACTGAGCCAGGCGACTCTTGACGCGCAGGCGCAGTTCCCATCTGCGGAGATTGTCGTGTTGGGGGACTTTAATGCTCACCATGAATCATGGTTAAGTTCCCTCAAGACTGACCATGCAGGAAGAACTGCCCACGCTTTCGCTCTCACGCATGACTTGACCCAACTGGTAACCCAGCCCACCCGGGTTCCAGACATATCGGATCATGCACCCTCTTTGCTTGACCTTCTGCTCGCGAGTCACCCTACCTACTATACAGTATCAGTCAGCGCCCCCCTGGGAAGTTCTGATCACTGTTTGGTTGGGTGTAAGGTTTCCCAAATGCCTCCAACTAAGCTGAAGGAGGTCACTCGTCGCATTTGGCACTACTCGTCGGCGGATTGGGATGGTATGCGCGACTACTTTGCGTCCATCCCTTGGTTGCAGCACTGCTTTGCGGGAAAGGATGCCTCAGCAGCTGCCGATGATGTTGTCTATGAGATTGGAACGGCTATGAATTACTACATACCGTCTTCCAGTGTCATCGCCAATCGCAGAGGACGCCCTTAGTTCAATCGCGAATGCATGGACGCTGTTAGTGAGAAACAGGCTGCATATCGTGGTTGGATCAAGAGTCGTGTAACAAAGGATCCCAACCTTGCGTCCCTTAAAGCAGCCTATTACAAAGCAACCAAGTCTTGCAGGAGGGCTTACATAAGAGCGGATGCCCAGCGCGATTCACGGATTGGCCAGAAGCTGGTAGCCCATCCCACCGGTAGCCGTGCCTACTGGAGCCTGGCCAAAGCCGTGCAGTCTAATTTTTGTCGTTCGTCGCTGCCGCCTTTGAGGTATCCCAATGGATTTTTGGCCTATGGCCTCGAAGAGAAAGACAATTTATTGGCCGACCTTTTTGGGGCTAACTCGCGCATTCACGACCAAGATGCGCAACCGCCGTCAATTCCCCACTGCGGAGTCACAATGCCTGATATAGTTATCAGACAATGTGATGTCCGCAAGGAACTGCAGACTCTTGACGTGCGGAAAGCCTATGGTCCGGATGGGATACCTCCTATCGTCCTTAAAAGGTGTGCGGCGGAGTTGTCTCCCGTACTGACGCGCTTATACCGCCTCTCATACCAATCTGGTAACGTGCCCCTTGCTTGGAGGGAGGCCAACGTACAACCTATCCCCAAGAAAGGAGATCGGTCTGATCCGACAAACTATCGCCCAATAGCTGTCACTTCAGTGCTCTGCAAAGTGATGGAGCGGATTCTAAATATCCAGATAATCCGGCACCTGGAACGTCACTCCATTCTTAATGATCGACAGTACGGGTTTCGGCCGAATCGATCAACGGGTGACGTTCTAGCGTATTTAATGCATCTCTGGGGTGAAGCTATCGACAAACAGGGCGAAACCTTAGCGATAAGTCTGGATATTGCTAAGGCCTTTGATCGGGTCTGGCACCGTGGTCTCCTCTCCAAGCTTCCGGCATATGGTCTTCCCGGCCGCCTTTGTGAGTGGATCTCCGGCTTTCTACGCGAGCGAAGATTGCGTGTCCTTGTTGAGGGAGGCACTTCGCGGCTCGTGACAGTTAATGCTGGGGTGCCACAGGGCTCCGTGCTGTCGCCCACGCTGTTCCTTCTGCATATCAATGACTTGTTGCCTTTTGGCGACATTCATTGCTATGCAGATGATAGCACAGTGCACGGTTGCTATTATAAGCAACCGTCAAGCAGCCGGGAGGACCCTGAGAGAAACCGGGAAAAACTTGTCGCTGAGTTCAACCATGTTTTGGAACATATATCGTCGTGGGGCTCCCGAAACTTGGTTGAGTTCAACGCCAAGAAAACCCAGGTATGCGCGTTCAGTTCCAAAAAATCCCCATTCCTTCCACTTCCCCATCTTCAGGGTACAACGCTGACGCTGCAGGACAAGCTCAGCCTGCTGGGGATGAGCATCCGGAAGGACATGAGCAACAAAGAGTATATAGAGAGCGTCATCTGTACCGCGTCGCGCAAACTTGGCATCCTGAACAAGGTGCACCGATTTTTTACTCCAGAGCTGCGATACCTGTTGTATAAAGCTCAGGTCCGAAGCAGCATGGAGTACTGTTCGCACCTTTGGGACGACTCTGCCAATGCTCGATGCCCTAGATGGACTGCAGCGCTACGCCTTCCGTGTTGTCAACGATCCTCATGTAACTGAGCATGTGGAGTCGTTACAGCTTCGCAGAGATATAGCGTCTCTTAGCGTATTCTATCGCCTGTACCACGGTGAGTGCTCTGAAGAGTTATTCAACCTTATCCCTTCCTCTCCTTTCCATCAGCGGACCACCCGTGCCGGACTGCGTTGCCACAGTTGGACGGTCAGTTCAATACCGTCCCGCACTAAAAAGTTTGGCAATTCGTTTTTATGCCGAACCATCAAATTGTGGAACCAACTCCCGGCGCATGTATTCCCTCCCCTCTATAACATCGGGTCCTTCAAACGTAGTGTGAAGAAGCATTTGGCCAGACCGGCAAAATGATAGTGACGGAGTGAAGATATTTGTGTTTTCCATCCGTTACTCTCATCTCTGGACTGTATTCGCACTTTCCATCAGGTGCGGTGCAGTCATTTTGCCGAGTCACAATAAAAAAATAAAAAAAATAGTACTCTGTACTGAGATTATTGCCAGTTGTTATAACTGGAAGGTTTAGTACAAATTGTAAAGCATTTTATAAAACGTATCCAGGTATTTGTAAAGAATATATTAAAAAACTATACCACCCTAAGGTGCAGTCTTTCAATTCTCACACCGAAGCTTCCCACTTCTGGGCAAGTATTTAGTTTATTAACAGAAATTTAGTAAAAACCTCTTAAAACATTTCCTCAATGAACACAATGCAATTTGGCAATGATTATATATTATTACACTTTTCTTTATATGGTCCCTGAGAAACCACATTTAAAAAACGTATGAGTTAATATTTTTAAAAAACAAACATTAGTAAAAATCACAAGGAAGATTGTAAAAGTAAAACAAAACCACAATTACGAGGCCATTTCGTAAATTTCATATTCATTTGTGGTCCCTCTGTTCACACACTATAGAAATGTGAATTAATTAATACATCGTAAAATACAAAAAATATAGAAAGATTCGTCATATTGAGGTTTAGTAAAAAAGCTATACTATATGCATGTTTTTTTTAAATGCGTTGGTGGCTCATTAAACAAGATTATTGCATTTCAATATTTCCTTAGACGTGTACGTAGTAGGGTGTCCACAAAATATGAATTCCCTATTGACTGTATCTTTTGCTCATTTATTAAGAAATAATTGAAATTACAAATTTGTCGAGGGGAATAAATTCAATTGCCCCTACAAATATATAATACTACTTTCAACTATAATCGTATGAGGTACGCCTGTTCGTCAACACCGTTCAAATCGAATTAAATTACTTTTGATATTTCTTAGTTACTAATGGTCTGACCTTCACAACATGATCATCATAAGCAAGACCTGCGCGACACCTCCAACGGCATCCTGAATTGCTGAAACTCGTTGATGTTCGCCAACTGTTTCATAAGTATCTTTCTACTTCCAAGCCGTAGTAGCCGTGGAAGTTGTGGGTTGACCTAGCGTCTCTCAAGCAGAGGGTCGTGGTTTGGAACTCGGGCTCGTACCTCTGAGTTTATCGGAATTTGAAATTTACCACAATCTTTACAGTGAAAGAAAATACCGTGATGAAACCCTATACACATCTGCAAAGCGATTAAATGATGTATGTGAAGTTTCCACTCCGCACTGGGCCCACGTGAGCTCAAGCTCAGGCATTGTGAGAAGACCTGTGCCCAGCAGCGGGCCATATATAGGCTGAATGACTGAATGATGTTTTATGTGTTTATTTGCATTCATAATAGTAAAAAGTAAAGTAATATGTTGCATATTATGTATTAGTTTTTTATGCATGAGTCATATTCATAACGTTGTTTTTTTTTGCGCGCCTTCTCTCCCTGTATATTTCTATCATAATTATTTCATTTAAACTGATTCCATGTGTGCCCAATAGTAAGTAAGTAAGATAAAGAGTTGAAAATATATTTTTAAGTAATAGTAAGTTGTTATTCCTGTTTAAGCATATGTTGTCCTTGTCTCCATGTTCTTGACTATTACATAAGTGTCCTTATATTTCTTAATAAATAAACCAAAATATACAAGTCAACAGCGACTTGTGTGGATACCCTACTACATACACGGCTAAGGAAATATTGAAAAGCAATTATCTTGTCTAATGAGTAAAGCTTTTTTACTAAACCTCAATATGACCAATCTTTCTATATTCTTTTTATTTTAGGATATATTGATTAATTCACATTTCTGTAGTGTGTGAACAGATGGACCACAAATGAATTTGTATCGTGGATTTGTTTTACTTTTACAATCTTCCTTTTGATTTTTTCTAACGTTTGTAGGTACATAACATATACTTTTAAAATTAATTACTCATTTATACGTTTTTTAAATATGGCCTCGCAGGGACCATATAAAGAACAGTATAATATTAAATAACCATTGCCAAATTGGTTTAGTTCATTGTGTAAATGTTTGGGGGTTTTTATGAAATTTCTGTTAACAAAACATACTAAATACTTGCCCAGAAGTGGAAGTTTTGGTGTGAGAATTGAGAAACCGTACCCGTATAGTATTTTTATAATTATATTCTTTACAAATTCCAGGATGAGTTTTACAAAATTCTTTACAACTTGTA